TCATAAAAACAAAGTCAAACGGATAAGGTGAAAAATTATATCAATCAAACACAATTAATTACAATTTCCAATAAAACAAATTTTAGGCAATTTAATTTCATACAATTCGTTTTCTTTCCACCCAAATTCCACCTTTACAATCAAACGGACCCTTACTTCTTTTCATCCCCAGTCAATGGAGCAAAGAAAAACAAATAGATCAATTGAAAAAAGAAAGCAAGAAATAATTAAAATCAATATTAAATAAAAATAGTACCCGGCAACGGGGCTGAAAACATGTTGTCAAATTTCATATACCTCAAGTGTACAGATCGTAATAAGTAATATAATGTACCAATGAGTCCGAAAATCATTCCCACGAGAACAACCAATTCGTTCAATTATTTATGACTTTAAGTTGAAAATAAATAATAATGTTTGTGATTGGTATCTAAATTATTCTAACTACACTAAATTGTCTTTCTTAGACAATTTATCGAATTTGAGTTTTAAAAGTACGAATGTGGAATGCTATGACTTATAATTTTACCTATGGATCCATTTTAATTCGTCAATCAAGATTCACTATTATTGCAGCGTTCGGTCGAATTCTTCTAAAATGTTCAATTTATCCCTCTCGAATTCTCATTGATTCTATTTAACTAATTCAATTTCATATCTCTATATGAATAGTTCAACGCAATTATGTTTTAAGAATCATGCAATGAACACATTAACTAGCATAAGTATCTCTATGTTTTAATGCTAAATTATCGAATTTTACTATGTGGTCTAACTTTAAAACTCACCACTCGATTCGTAATAGATTTCACAAAATTATTGAAGAATTGACCAAAGAATTCAAAGCATGAAATTCATGAGTAAAATCAATACATATGCATTGTAAAAACTAGAATATTGAATAAAAGAAATAAATGGCCACACATGGATTACATTTTTCGCCTAACTGTGAATTTTGCTACTCATAATAATAAAAGAAAAACAATAAGTATAGTGTTCATAACTGAGTTTTGAAATCTTGATCATGTAAATAATTTGATCTTACATCAAGAATTTTCTTCAATCTCAAGAATCTTTAAACCCTACTTTTTACTATTTGATCCTGATGATTATGCGTTTTTCTCCCCCATCCAAATTGTGTTCTCTAGCATTGTATTTTTTTTTTTTTTTTTTTTTAAGTCTTGAAAGAGTTTTAGTTGAATTGGGATTTTAAAAAGATTAATCGCACTTGAAAGCCCTACGACGGCAGGCAGCGCCTAGGCGTCATGAGTGTTGTCGCGACGTCGCGAAACTGCCATTTTCTTCTCGGGAGTGGGTGCCTCGGCATCCACTTGGTGGCGCCATTCAACTTTACATATTTTTCAATATTTTTGTTATAACTTTCTCTTCTAATATTCAATTAAGGCGATTCAAAATGCGTTGAAAAGTTAACTAAATGGCTACAACTTTGCTAGGGATAACTTAATTTCAATTCGAACGTTTACTATGTTAAAAATGGGTCTCAACCTCCGACTAAAAATCTAG